AGGGAAAGATTTGCAGTGTATGTCGTTATACCGTTGTGGCCTGAAGGTGATCCAAAATCTGGCCCTGTACAGGAAATTCTATACTGGCAGGTAATTTTATTATCTGAAACCATAGATTCTTCCTGTGCTGTTGGGGAACGTTTCCAACAATTCTGATTTTGCTGCAGAGCCAGACAATGCAAATGATGTATGATGTTATAGCACGGGAGCTGAAGTCGATGCAGATTTCAGATGCTCATCCTCTGGATTACCTCAACTTTTACTGCCTTGGTAAACGTGAGCAACTTCCAGATAACATGACTAATGGCAACGGCAACGGCAATGGCAATTCGGTATGCTTTTTGAAAACTAAAACCGTTTCACTAGGTTCAGGTTTTGGACAGATGAAGCATACTTCCTGTAATCAGTGGTGGATATTTTATTACCTTCTCCCATAATGTCCTAAAACCTCGACTGCGTTCAGGTCCCGGATTCATTTAAGTTCCAGCGGTTCATGATTTACGTGCACGCGAAAGGGATGATAGTAGATGATGAGTATGTAATCATCGGATCTGCCAATATTAACCAAAGATCATTGGCTGGCACAAAAGACACGGAAATAGCAATGGGCGCATATCAACCCCATCAGACATGGTCTAGCAAGGGGAAACATCCACGTGGCCAGGTTCACACTCTTGTCCTTTACATCACATAATCTTATATCATGAACAAAGTGTCTCCATTGCATCATTCTCCATCCATTTTCCAATCCCCTCCATTTAACATATCCAGTACAACAGGTATACGGGTACAGAATGTCGTTATGGGCGGAGCATATGGGTGTGACGGGTAACCATTTCGTGGAGGCAGGGGAAGTGGAATGCGTAAAATCGGTTAACCGTATCGCGGAAGACAACTGGAGGAAATTCATATCACCGGAATTCACGGAGCTGCAAGGTCACCTTATCAAATACCCTCTACTAGTCGATTCCGACGGTAAGGTCAGCCCTCTTCCCGACTACGAGAACTTCCCCGATGTCGGTGGTAAGATCATCGGAGCTCACTCCATGACTCTTCCCGACACCTTAACGACTTAAAAAGTCCGAATGTTTCCATGAAATCTTATTTACCAGCGACAGGGACAGTGTGATAGTTCTCGTTTTGTACATTCTTTTGGATTGTTATGTGTAATTTTACCTATAAATTCGTTGTGCCAACTTTGAATATTGTCGTCAGGATTTGTAAGATGTAAAGAAACTATTGTGGGGTTGATTTGTGTAAGGCAAATAAAATAATGCAACCGGGTGATCCAATGTTTCTTATTTGCAATAATTACAATACTATCATTGCCCATAATCAATGATTATTCTCTTGTATTATTAAAAACCATGGGGCATAATCAGTGGTCTCACCCCCCCCATTGTATAATGTGTGCCAAGAGCTGGTCAATTATTATTACCATATTTGATCATTTTACACACATCTTTAGATCATCTGACGATATATGCCGTATAAAAAAAAATCATATATTGTTACACACACATGCCACAATCAACTCTTTTTATAATTTATTTTCTTTTTAATCTTCTGCATAAGCTAAGCATCACTGTCCAAATGGAAAAAAAAATGAAAAAAATAAATAAATAAGAATAAGTGGGAGTCTCGTGACCCACGCTCTCAAAAAGAGGTTCCCACCACTTGCTGACGTGGACAATCCCTTAGTGTTACACACCGTAACGTTCACCTCTCTCTCTCCTCTTTTTTGGTTAACAGAGCCCTCTAAAAATTTCTCTGGCTCTCTCTCCTTCTCCCCTTTTCTTTCGTTAACAAAGCTCTCCGAATTTTTCTCTGCCTCTCTCTCTCGCTCATCCAAAAAACCTGAATCTTGGATCATTCTCCTCTAATTTCGAATCGAAGTGATTGTTCGGAGGTTTTGTTTACCGCTCTTTTCTATTCGGTGTCGTGGTTTTTGCCTGTTTCCATGGCGATCAAAGAGGAGACGGAGAGCTGCGGCAGCAGACCCGTCGCGTCGCCGCTGCCGAAGGAAAACCCTAGGCAGCACCGGATGAAGCTCGAGGGGTACGGAGACGTTCTCCGTCGAATCCAGGAATCTAACTACGAAGAAGCCGATCATCCTGACTTCGAGGATCAACTTTGGCTTCATTTCAATCGCCTTCCTGCTCGGTATTCTTCTCCTACCTAACCCTAGGTTTTTGGCGTAGTATCTTCCACGACATTTGGAACTTGTTATCTGCTTAGTTTTGTGTTTGTACTGCTGAAATTCTTCGACTTCCTCAGCTTTCTTTTGCTTGATTTGTTTCGTATTACGAAGCATTGTTCTTGGACGGCGACTGATTCCTCTCTCTTCCAGAAACTTTTTAAAAAGGGTTTTAAATAAAATTGAGGATCAATCAGCCGTTATGTTTCTCTTTCTCTTTTTTCGTTTCTTAACACGTGTCTTTATCAGTGATGGACGATCAGTTGAGTAAAGTTTTTAGATCTGTCTGTTAGTATCTTCGTTCGAACTTTATTGCCTCTCTGTCGTTTGGGCATTTTGCTGATGCATGGTACTTCAATGTTCAGATATGCTCTGGATGTTAATGTTGAGAGGGCAGAAGATGTCCTCACACATCAGAGGTTGCTGAAATTGGCAGAAGATCCTGCAAATAGGCCCGTGTTCGAAGTTCATTGTGTCCAGGTATTAAGCTTCTTCCAATTTGGCGTAGCTTGTGTCTGATATTAGAACTTTTTTTAGTAGCTTCCATGTTTAGGATTTAGGTGCTTAATTGGGGTAAAACTTGGATGCTATGTTGACATTCTCTCTTTTGTTCAGCTGATTAGTGCGTGCACTCCTCTGTTTTTTGCAGGTTGTTCCCACATTAAATGGGAATATTGGCGACTCTGACCCTTCTGACCCTGCGGTGAAGGAAGATGCACAAAGCTCGTACAATTCGAGTAGACCAGGGTACGATGTTATCAATTTGAGATTCTCCTTGTCGCTCTTTCTTCAAATTCATTCTTTTTCTTAACTGTGTTCTTGGTTCCTTTCAAAAGCGTTCACCCACCACCTACCTTTGGTTCCCCAAATTTCGAGGTGATTACACAAGGCAATGGAAATCATGTTGAAGACGTAGATAGTGCTGTGAATTCAACATCGCAGAATTCTCGGTGAGATTTCATTTAACTTCTGTCATTATAGTTTCTTCTGTATGGTTTGCATATACCTCAATCAAGACTGCTTCGTGGCATGGAGATGTAGACTCATCTTTTTCAGCTTGACCTGATTTATTATCTGACTATGTACGACTATGTAATCCTGTTGTTGCAATCTTGTAGACATATGCACGAGATCACCTTTTCAACTGTTGACAAACCGAAACTCCTAAGCCAGGTTTGTGACTAGTATTTCTTTTTCTATTTTTCTGTTATTAACTCTTAGAATGGCAGCATGGTATGGTGTTCATTAATCTATTGTGCTAAAGTTTATTTCTTGGTTAGTAAAAGGAGTGACTCAGAAACCTTTTGAGTTTTGACCGTGTTGTTTTCCATTAGTTCATCTGATTATCTGATTGAGAAGATCGTTTGTTTTCAGTTAACTTTGTTGCTTGGTGAAATTGGCCTGAATATTCAAGAGGCTCATGCTTTTTCCACTGTCGACGGTTTCTCTCTGGATGTCTTTGTTGTTGATGGTTGGGCACACGAGGTATAGTCTGATTTTCTGCTTTAGAAGCATTATTTTTCTTATGGTCCGTAGCACCTAAAGTGGATGATAAAGTCAAGTATCAACTATCGATGGCCTTTCTTATCTTTGTTATCACTAAGCTGGTTGAAGAATTTTATGCACTTTGGCATTGTAGGAAACAGATGGTCTAAAAGATGCATTGAGGAGGGAGACACTGAAGCTCAAGGTACTTTCTATATCTAATTTTTCCTTGGTACTTCTTATCCTCATGACCTAAAAGATCATATGTTCTCCCTCTCCTCTAATTTGATTTCTTAAAGTGCAAATAATGTGTTAGAGTTATTTTTGGACCATGTTTAGTAAAAAAATATGTTCTCTTGCAATGACAATGCCTATCTTTCAGTACGTTTTGTTTCATCTTTATACCCGTCTCTTTGCTAAGTTCCATCTGTATGTCATGGATCAATTTTTGGCAGTTGTCCTCTCGCTATATCTTGCTCTTGTTACGCTACAGGATCAATCTTTTCAAAAACAGAAATCAACTACTTTCTTTGAGCATGGAAGATCAAGCAATGATTGTTTACCTGCCTGCGTTGAAATACCTACCGATGGAACTGATGACTGGGAAATTGATATGAGGCAACTCAAAATTGAAAGCAAAGTGGCATCTGGGTCATTTGGGGATCTGTGAGTTTTCTTATACCTAAATCTCTATTTGTGAACGCTGAAAGATTCTGGTAAGTATAAGCATTTATTCATTTTTGGTTATATAGGTACAGAGGTACCTATTGCAGTCAGGAAGTCGCTATCAAAGTCTTCAAGCCTGAGCGTGTAAATGCAGAAATGCTGAGAGAGTTTTCTCAGGAAGTATATATAATGAGGTCTGGTGTTATTGATTCCCTCTGTCACGTGGTTGCATATTTGTTCTGCAGGCTTTTTGCTTCTTGAGCTATTATAGAATTTGCCATGAATACCTCTGAAATCCCATTTTGGAGCCTTTATTTAACCTCAGTTTTATACTATCAGTGAAAAAAGAGAAACCTGATTTTCTTAATCATGATTTTCGTGTCTTTACATGCTGTGGTTTATAGTGAGTCTTGGCGCTACTTACTACTATGTATGAGTAATCATTATTCACACTTTTAGATGTGATCATTCTCTTCACTTTTCGTTGCTGACAGTTTCCTGTTTGTAGGAAAATCCGGCATAAAAATGTTGTTCAATTTATTGGTGCTTGCACACGATCTCCAAACCTCTGCATTGTGACTGGTAAGCTTTAAGTAGACGCTGAGAATAACAATGGGTTTTATTTGGCTCGTTCCTTTATTATGTTAGATCTGTTTCTGTATGTCTGGTGAGAAACGTTTCTCAGGAGGCAATTATGTGTAGGGTTTGGCTTGTAATTCAAATCCACGTTATTTGGGTATTTACCATAGTTTCTTATGTTTGCATAAACACATGATTGATTGAGTTTTATCTTGCTGTATCAGAGTTCATGGCTCAGGGAAGTATATATGATTTTCTACACAAACAGAAAGGCGTTTTTAAGCTTCAAACTTTGCTCAAGGTGGCCCTTGATGTGTCAAAAGGAATGAACTATCTGCATCAGAACAATATTATTCATAGGGACCTTAAGACTGCCAATCTTCTGATGGATGAGCATGGAGTAAGCCTCATTGTCTGGCCACTGTTAATTCAGTCTTCAGCTAGTAGACCAATGAAACTCTAGAAACGTTTCTTTGCATTTTTTCTATACAGAATTGCTATATTCATCTACAACCACCACAACACTACAATACTGACTACATATAATTTTACCAGGTTGTCAAGGTTGCTGATTTTGGGGTTGCCAGAGTGCAGACTCAGTCAGGGGTCATGACGGCTGAAACAGGGACATACAGATGGATGGCTCCAGAGGTAAAAAATCCCTCGTTTTAAAGATATGGTCTGACTTGCACAGTTGTGAGTTATGCTTTTGCAGTTCCTGTGAACATCACGTCAGTTATGACGAGTCAACTATATGTTTGCCCTTCAGATCGATATTTCTTGTACCATAGCTATTTATGTGAGAAACAAAGTTAGACCAACCTTAAATGAGATCTAGCCGTACATTAGGCTGTGGAGGCTCTTTTCTTGTTTGTTTTAAGCTTTCTATACTGTTGAGCTGTCTCATTAGTTTCCTCCTTTCTGCATCTAACAATATACTCTGCTGAACGTAGGTCATTGAGCACAGACCTTACGATCACAGGGCAGATGTCTTCAGCTTTGCGATAGTGCTGTGGGAACTTCTTACAGGGGAAGTGAGTCTCTCTTTTTTCAAGATTTGAATTAGGATTCTTAGTGGTTGAATTTGAAGTTAACTGCATTAACTTTCGCATTTAATGGCGATATTTCGTGTATTGTGAATGGAAACAGCTCCCTTATTCTTACTTGACTCCACTACAAGCAGCTGTTGGCGTTGTCCAGAAAGTACGTTTATAGGATCTCCGTTTTCTTTCCCTCCACGTTGCAAGAGACTTGTGACTTATGAATTGCATTTGCTTTCAGGGACTGAGACCCGAAATTCCGAAGCACACCCACCCAAAACTGGCTGAACTTCTTGAGAAATGCTGGCAGCAAGACGCAGCTCAAAGACCCAAATTCTCAGAAATCATAGAAATTCTTCAACAGATAACCTGCAAGGTAATCGCTTAATTACTGTACATCACCTGCATAAACCCTTACGAGACCAATTCTGAGTACATATTATGGTGAAAACCAGGTTGGAGATGAGGGTCGTCGCAAGGATAAACATGGAGGAATCTTTTCAGCTCTGAGAAAGGGTCATCACTGACATTTGGATGCGCTGAAACTCGTGTTCTGATCGGTTTGTCGCTTTACATTTTGCGTTGTACAGTTTTTTGTTTTTCATGACTAGTTGGAGGAACCCCGTTTCAACTGTAGATCATTCTCCTTTTAGTCTCTTTCGATGTCGTTCTTTATAGCAACACACACTTATAATAAATTAGTTGCCTCAGGCGAAGAATATTTGCAGAGACTTGCATATTCATGCTGTAGCCTCACTTCATCTGATCATTTAACGAGTGATTGAATAAGCTAAAATCCCACCGGAAAAGGATGCTGTCCTTGTCAGGTTTTGAATTCTTTTCGATATTAGCTGCTCTAGAAAGATTTTATTCATTTTCAAGTTGTCTACTAATAAGTAGTGATAACAGATACAAGCATTCCTGGTTGAAGCTAATGTACAGGACTGGCTATATGAGCACAGGAAGATGTTCAGTCTTCTACAGGGAGACCATTCTGTGACCAGGCGGTGTATCCCCCAGCAATGTCGGTGATTGAAGTGAAGCCCTGTTCTCAGATGAAAGCATATATTTAATATATATTTACAAATAAGTCAGGTATTGTGTACAAGTTATGGTGGCAGTGTAGAGCAAAAGGCGGTGAAAACACTTACGGACGAGAGGAGATCAGCGGAAGCCATGAGAGACCTCTCGCCACTCTCAGAACCCTGCAAATGGGCATGTCGGGTTTGGAATGGAACATAGCAAAACATGGATGGAGTGTGAAAATGGTGAGAGGAATGTAAAACTTACGATGATGATCTCGTCATGCTTTCTGAAATGAGACGAGACTTGCCTCAAGAAACCCGGGTTCTTTGTCAGACCTGAGCCAACCCGGTAAAAGTAAGGAACGTTGATGGAACCGGATGGATGGCCTGCACTGAACTCGTCGGGTGTTCTAACGTCGAGATAGCGATGACCCGCTTGAGCCAGCTCGTGTGCAACTCTCACCGGCACGGACGTCAGGATTCGGCTTGGCTCCTCTACTAGTAGTGAGTTCCTTCTCCGTGTTGCCCTGGTTCTTCATAAGTAAATAAGAAGCCATGAGTTAGCTTGAGAGAGAATCACTTATCCAAGTAAGTTATGATTTTTCGCTCACCGCAAGTTTGAACCTCTCGGATCAATGGCCTTGATGATGTTCCAGCTCCTGAGCCGAGAGGGCCGATCAAAGGCCGATGGCCAGTTCCCGAGCCGAGAGGATGGAATAAACGCCGTCGTTTCCATGGTTTCTTCTTCTTGCTTCGTGCTTGTGTTAGGTGTTGAGACTTAGTTGCCTCTTTTGTGCCGCGCTCTCTCTCTATATATAGAGTATGGCAAAACAAAAGCAGACAAAGAGGAATTGGGGATGCCACGTCAGACGGTGTATGGATATATCCGAACTCGGAGTGTCGTATTGTTTCCATGTAAGCCATGCGTGGACGATAAGCTCCAGCTTTCACATCTCGGCTTCTTCACTTTCCCCATCCCCCAACAATGGATAAGTATCTCTTGGATATTATTCCTATGTCAAAATATCATTAAAATAAATAATTTAGATTGAGAATCTAGGTTTTAATAACACCGTTGGTTATAATAATTGTTTTTACGAACATATAGATGGTCCGTCCACAAAGGGAAAAAAATTGGAACCAGAAATAAATTAGTGTTTATAAAACATAAGAAAATGGCATCGATTTAATGTCTGAAATGAGTATTTATTTTAGAAAATTGCACTATTGTATTTATTTATTTTTTATTTTTATTTTAAGTCATTGGTATAAATAATGCTTAAAATATTACAGGCCCAAAAGAGTAGAATGAATGTTAAATATGGGCTCAACTTAATAGTTTACTGGGCTTTTAAGGGCCCATGTTTGAGGCTAGTGGCTGAGCAGAGAGATGAGGTTGCCCAAGCCATTGGCATTCCAAATGGTGGTTACGATTTCGGACGACGACGATGATGGCGACGTTCGTCTCCGTATCGTCTCCTCGGTTCTCTTTTCGCTGCACTCCTCGTTCCTCTCCTACTCCCTCTCTTATACCGAACCGATTCTGGGTAATTCTTGTTCTGTCTCTCTTTCTTCAATTTGCTGTCTGGTCCTCTGTTTTGTGTTAACTTGAGTTGGGCATTTGAATTAGGTTTTGAGTCGACGGTTCCCAGTTTTTCCGGTCAAGTGTTTGTCGTCTGAGCAGGAAGAAAATGGAGATTCGACGCCTGGCGCTGCGCCGTCTCTGTCTTCGTCTTCGTCTTCGTCTTCATCGTCTCCTACAACTGAAGGCTTATCTGACAGCGTTACGACATACAAATGGTGCACCGTACTTGGCGGTGTTGGGTTGATAGAAACTGCGTATTTGAGCTACCTCAAGGTGACTGGCTCCGATGCGTTTTGTCCCGTTGGTGGCGGCACTTGCGGCGATGTCTTGGACAGCGATTACGCCTCCGTTTTCGGTACTCTTCTTTACTTTGTTTGCTGTACCTACTGGTGAAAGTAGTTCCATTTTTGGTCGCTCTAATTTGTTTAGTTCGAATTGGGTGATCTTGTCCAGTGAATGGGAGTCTGTCTGTTTAGTTAATGACCTTCGAGATTGATTGAATTTTGGAAGTCCTGAGTCTAAACTTATCCAAGTTTGTGTTTGCTTTTTGGTAGCCATTGTAATAGACTATCATGGAAGCACGGTTGAAAATTTTGAGTTCCTAGTGAGATTTATATTCATGGTTTGATGTTGTGGAAAAGTTTATTTCTACTGTAATTTGAAGTGCAGCCATAAATGCAAGCCTTGACCTTATCTTGCTAGTACTGTTTCGGAAATCGACCTCGAGCTGACCTTAGGTATGAATCTGTTCCTTGAGACTAAAATTATTCTTGATCTTGTGCGCTCGGTGTAAATAGAACTGTTATGCTGAATAGCGCTCGTACCCATCATTCTCGTTTTTGTCCTCTCCTCTGGCATTGTTGTGCCAAAGAATTGTCTTATTGACTGGAGTTCTCTCACACAAATTGCTATTGCAGGTAATCTGCTCAATGACAATCCTTTTAAATTTGCCAGGTGTTCCTCTCCCTGCGATTGGAATGGTTATGTATGGTTTAGTTACGGCTTTAGGGGCACAGCTAGGGGGAAAGCAGCTGCCTTTTGGGATCAGTCATAACAACGGGCGTTTTGTATTACTTGGAGCGGCAACTGCCATGGCATCTGCTAGTGCATATTTCCTGTATATCCTTTCCACGAAACTCTCGGGAGCCTCGTGCTTGTACTGTCTGCTCTCTTCTGCTCTATCGTTTAGTTTATTTTTCCTCTCTTTAAAGGTATCTCCTGACTCCTTTTTCTATCGCATTTCAGATCTCTCATATTATTATAACTCGATATGACATCTGAAGTTTGTATAATTATTTGTGATAGGATGTGAAGCTGAAGGACATACAGCAAGTTGTTGGGTTACAGGTATGTTTGGCAATCATAGTGGTAGCCTCCTTGTCTGCTTCATACAGTACTGCTCAACCAATCCCAACCAGGTAATCTATGTTCAGCTTTCTTCCTTTGTGTTAGTTGCACACGAAGAAACGCCTCATATCCTGCCATACATGGTTAAAGGAGATGCCTTTCTTGTGAATATGACATTGACGTGTCTTTTCTTTTCTATGCTGACAGCTCGGACAACATTGAACTGCCCTATTTTTCGACCGAGATAACTGCACCATCGAGTCCCTTTGCTCTTGCCCTAGCAAAACACCTAAACTCTATCGGAGCTAAGATGTATGGGGCATTCTGGTGTTCTCACTGTTTAGAACAAAAGCAGGTATGCATCATCATCTGTCCCAACAGAACAAGTTTCCCGAGCTTACTTGTATTCATGAAAACTTCAAAATCCCTTTATAGATGTTCGGGCGGGAAGCAGCAAAGCTACTGAACTATGTGGAATGTTTCCCCGACGGATATAAGAAAGGAACGAAAATAATCACGGCGTGTTCTGATGCTGGGATCGAGGGATTCCCGACGTGGCTGATAAATGGGCAGGTATGCATCCTCTCAACTCTGTTTTTGCCAGAATCATACATATTCTATCACACTACATTCCCCGTTTCACTTCCATTTCGTAAATCCTTAGGTTATAAGCGGGGAAGTAGAACTCACTGAGCTGGCTGATATATCTGGATTCAGCTTAGACCAAGCACTGGAATCCAATCAACAATAGAAAATTCGTGTCGATCCGAAAAGAGTGAAAGGAAAAAAAAAGGGGGTATTGCAAATTTACTGAAGGGAAAGCTCCTGATCCTGATGAGCATTACATGCAAGTAAGTCGCATTTGTTCTTCATCCTTGGATACATAGGGCCTTAGAACAAAGCCCTTCATTATTATTCCAGCTTTGAGATAAGCATTCATGATGATGATTCCATCATCTTCTTCATTCTGACGCGCATAGGATTAAAAACCATCTAAGAATGGTGTAATAGATGATATATCTATGTGAAAGATGGTCGACCTGTGGTCTCTACAAGTCTGTCATGTGTAGTTTGGTGCTTTTTTTTGTAATTTTTTGTTTTACCAATTTCATCTTCCTTTGGTTTGGAGGTGTGAATGTATCTATCTGTACATGCATATGCAAGTGTATATGTACATACGAGGAATGAGAACATCATGCCCGCGGCTGTGAATACCCTTGATGGGACCATCATTAATCATGCGTCATCAATGCATGTTTGCAATTATTTCCACTGATGGTAATATATGTATTTTTCTATTATTATTATTATTACTATTATTATTATTATTTTATGTGATTTGTCAAGATTGGAGTTCGAATATGGGTGAAGCACTCTTTACGCATAACCATTTACCAGTTGAGTCAACCAGCCTTGGATTTATTATTATTATTATTATTATTATTATTATTATTGTTATTATTGTTTTTTTTATAAAAATGTGAATATGCTATTGTTATTGTTATTGTTATTATATCATTATTATACCCTTTTGGACAAACGTTGCAGCTGTAGCGGATAAAATTTCAGCTTTGTGATAAGCATAGTTGTTTATAATTAATGCATATAATAGTTAGTACGTACGTGTCGATAAAATACGCATACCAGTAGACCAACTAAGACGATAACGATACCTTTTATACAATCATGTGACGGGCGCGCGCGGGATATATCGGTCAAGAAAAGTAGCCGTTGATTTGTACACGTGGCCAAAAAGGAGGGCCTGGTTTCCCTTATCTTGTGAGGGGCAAAAAGGTCAAAAGGAGGATGATGAGGGACCCACGATCGGCGGGGGCCCATATGAGGAAGGGAAGATGCTATGGAATATTCGAAAGAGCCTGTCCCACTCTCCATAAATACTCTGTTTTGTCGCTTTGAAATTGCTTCACAATCAATCATCGCAATCACCTCTTCCCCGCATTCCTCTCGTCACGCTTATTCTCCCTCTTCATCTTCTTCTTCCTCGCCCCCTCACACACTTTTCTCGCCGATTTCACCGACAGAGAGAGAGAGATGAGAGACGCCATGAACGGTCAGATTTCGGAGGTCGAACAGAAGCAGCTGATCGAGAAGCTCGACATCTTTAAGATCCACGGAAAAGACAAACACGGCCGCAAGCTCCTCCGCATCATCGGCAAATTCTTCCCAGGTACTCTCTCTCTCTCTCTCGCTTCACTTATTCAATTCCGATTCATTTGCTTTAAAGATTGATTCGGATTTTTTTGGTGCTATAGCTCGGTTTCTGACGATGGAGGTGTTGAAGACGTACTTGGAGGAGAAGATATTTCCACGATTGGGACGAAAACCGTTCGCAGTACTGTACGTGCACACAGGAGTTCAGAGGAGCGAGAATTTCCCGGGGATCTCCGCACTGCGTTCGATCTACGACGCGATTCCGGTGAATGTAAGAGACAATCTGCAGGAGGTATACTTCCTGCACCCAGGCCTCCAGTCCCGACTCTTCCTCGCCACATGCGGCCGCTTCCTCTTCTCCGGAGGGTAAGCAAAAACTCCTCCCCCATCCGAATCAGAGCGAGCTGTAGAAGAAGAAACCAAAACCGATTGAACTAACAATGTGGATTGTGGGTAGGTTGTATGGGAAGGTGAGGTACATAAGCAGAGTGGATTACCTGTGGGAGCAGGTGAGGAGGAACGAGGCGGAGATGCCGGAGTTCGTGTACGACCACGACGACGATCTCGAGTACCGTCCCATGATGGATTACGGCCTTGAGAGCGACCACGCTCGGGTTTACGCCTCTCCCGCCGCTGATTCTCCCCTCTCCACTTTCTCCATGAGGTGCATCTCTTAGGGAGGGGCCCACAACCCTAAACCCAGAGTGGTATTATTATTATTATCATCATCCAATGCGATGCGATGAGATGAGATCATATAATAATAATGATAACACAAACCTAAGACGATAAGACTTTGAGGGAGTTGTTCACTTTGCTTCTGTTTTTTCTTTTGGGAGTTTGTTAGTGGATGTGGAAAATGTATATACCTTTTTTTGTGTGTGTAAAAAGAAGCCCCTTGTAGATGATGCTTGTCCATTTTCAATGTTGGAAAGCAAGGGAAAAAAAAGAAGGTTTTAGCTGTTTTTAGTTTTATATTATTATGTAGTCTAGATTCAGTTTTTAATGGAAAAAAAAAAGGAAACACTTTTTTGCAGTTGATCTAATCCATAAGATCTAAAGTGTAATAAGATACTGTGGGCAACAGTGCAAAAATCAGAAAGAGTGACTGGTGGGTTGTTTCTCATCTCTGATTCAGCTTCTCCATCTGATCCCGCTCTGTTCTGGTTCTTGGTTGTGTTTCAACGGGTTCTTCTCTGACTGTCAAGAACTAAACCGGCTCATTAGCTCGCCTCTGCTTGCGGGTTCCCAACCATCTTACAGTCCTTGCCACCTGCGAGTACTATGGCCATTCATGGTTTCAGTGAGACAGGATATGAGAATCCAAAGGTACAAATTACCAAGCTATGAATCCCAAAGATGTGGGGACATCTTGAGCTTTTGTACACCTGAGCTTTTGCTCGATTCCCTCAGTGCTTCGGGTATGTCATTCTTGTCCTGAAGCTTTTTGGGGATTAAGCTTCACGACAAACATGAAGACATGTATCACCTCAGTTTTCAACAATGTGAATATCTGCTACCAAACCTGTTATACTAGGCCATGTTCCTCCGACAGTATTTCCTTCCCAGTAACATCATTTTTTCATCTAATCCCTTTTTTATACTCGCTACGTTCAGGGAACGAGTCATTTCATCTGCAAGACTCTAGAAATATTTGCTGATTCAAGAGGGTTACCGTCTGAATCTGATATGCACTCATCAGAACCGCTTGCCTCTCCGTCACCATGCCAGCTCCTTCATCAGCCATATTGTTTGAGCTGCGAAAGAGAGCATATCAAGCTCAGTAGAAATGGGTATCCTCAGCATCTGATTGACTCGACATGAAGGAAAGCGAAAAGGGGAAAGAGGAATCAGAAGATGTGCTCTGATACCATGTGAAACTATAGAAGTGAAAATGAAAGAATGGAATTTCTTATTCAAATATCGGGAAGGATGTGTTCCCTAAATAGCTGTACAAACAGATAGAACTTGCTGAAATATAGGAACAGAACATATCAACAGATATATGAATGTATAGGGAATCGACATAAGCTAACAACCAAATCGTAACAATATGTTCTCTGATAAGCTACTCGACTGAAACTCAAGCTTGTCAGAAGGGTGTGCACGATGACAACCTGGTAGTCAAAATTTGCAAAGAACTGCGCCTTTGGCAAGGAGGTAATGCTCGCGAGCTCCACAACCAAACAGCGAGCCACTCAGATTTGGGTGCTTACAGTTACAGGCAACAATGGCATGTTTGCATTGTGCTGCCGGGAAATTGGGAGGCTGCTTCAATGACTCTCAGACACAAAGTTACACCTCAAAGCTGTGAAGGTGTAAACACAAGAACAAGAGGGAGGAAACAGAGCATGAGTTGGAGCCATTCCAGATTCGTTGCTCAGTGAATCTGCACGAATCTGATAAAAGTAGATTTTCCTCTTCTCCTAGGCATCAAACAAAAACATCCCTTCCTATTTCATCAACAACAACGGAGACATGCACAATCAAGGCAAAATCTATCGATAATTCAATGCTATTTCTCTCTCGAGCAGCTCGTGTACCTGATAGAACAAAGCTTAATTGGCCTCTAAGCTGCTTCCCTCTGAAATCCGGATCACCGAGAAATGCCATCGCAAGAGCTTCTTTACCTCCGACGACGTTCTTATCGAAGCGGTTCACGTTCTGCACCTGCAATGGCGGTTTCTTCATTTCTCCAACAACTCCCTAATCCAGCCGCCAAAAAACCAAAAAAAAAAAATCATCGATGTCATCAACCACGGAGATTCATCGGGAAAGGTATATTCAAAAATTTTCAAATACCTCTGCAGAAATTCTGAGGAATTTTCCCGCTTTCTGCCATCAAGAACAAGAAGCCGCGAAAAGTGTCAAGGCACTGTATCGGTGCCTCTTATGACGTCGTCGTTTTAATTCGCTGGGTTTGGGACGGAAATATAGCACATATATCATTACTTTGCTACATAGACTTCACGAACTACCTTCCAAAACCCTAGTTTTTCAAAAAAAAAACTAAATGAGCAAAAGACATAATTGACCTTAATGAAAACTACACGTGGCGCAACATAAAGGAAGGACGGTTAATCTTCCCGAATGGACACCCCTAACTTAGTCGGTTTCGAGATAAATTTCAAAAATGTTTGCTTCTCTCTCTCTTGTTAAAAAAAACTGGTTTTTCAGAAATCCGGCGAAATCTTTTCGTTTCTCGTCGATTCTCACAAATCAGAAGAATGGCTTCAAAATCGAACAGAAATCAAAAGAAGACTTCAACTCCCGCTCGCAAATCGGGACGCGGCGGAAGAAAAAACCAGGAACTGAAGGTAAGTTTGGTAGTAAATGACTTTGAGTTTGAGGCGATGCAAGAAATCTGTGTTTTTTGGGTTTGTGTTTATGATTTTTAAGTTAATCGTGTGATTTATGGTGAAAAATGGGTTGTTAGATTCACTGAAACGGAAGTTAGAGTTTAGCTGGTCACAGTGGTCACAATGGTCACACTGACTGATTGAGTGTTGATTTCTTCTTTGCAGGTTCCGTCTATATATGATTTCTCAGATATTCAGTTCGCACCGAAGATTGAAAGCAAATGCTATTTGATTCAGACGATTAAAAGTTTGAAAGAGGTATTAACTACCGAGGAGTGGAGGTACTTCAACGAGGATTCACAGTTTCGTCACATATTCCATTTGAAATGTGACGAGAACATGAAGATGGTGCCTGTGTCAGTCCTCCTACACCGAACACTGAAGTTAGAGGAGGAAAAAGAGCAGTTATGGTTTGTTTTAAATGGCGTTCCTATCAGATACTCTATAATCGAGCACGCCATTATATCAGGATTGAAGTGCAACCAGTATCCGGAAGATTGGGAAGGGCGCAGAAAAAACGATTTTCGAATAAAGACCTTCGGACCTGGGAAGGTCACCAGGAAAGCAGTTCTGGAAAAGTTGCAAAAGAGTAAATACAGTCGGATTGACAGAAAGAGATTGGCGACACTGATGTTGCTATCTGGAGTACTCGACCACGGAAACAGAAGCGATGACTCTATCAACCATGATCTGGTTGATATGGTCGATGAACTTGAGTTATGCGAAGAATTTCCGTGGGGAAGGTACACATTCGAGAAAATGGTGGAACAGTTGCGGAAGATTCTACAAAATCCTACACCGAAGGAGAGATGGTGGTTGTCTGGATTTGTTGTCCCTCTCATGGTGCTTCCATTCGAATGCATCGAAACTCTTTGCGCGAACGGTTGGTGCACTACTGTTGAAGATGCCGATCCAAGCTGTCCCAGGATGTGCAAAAAGCACATCTCTAACCCCAAATGGACTTTCGGGACGGTGATGAAACAGATTGGCAACGAAGCAAAGGTACGTCACAATGGTCCCACTGGTCACACCGTTTATATTTTGTATTTGGTCACACTGGTCACGTTGGTCCCACTGGTCACAATGGTCCCACAGATGACACCGTTTATGTTTTGTATTCGGTCTCACTGGTCACCCGCTGTATGAGATTCAAGTCATGACTCTGTCCATGTGACAATCTCATGCGGGTCAACCAGTCACTCGTTCACAACGAGTACCCATGATTGTGATATGCATCCAATGCATCAATCACACCTCATGCTAGTCTTAATTCATCATTGTTCCCACAATGATAACTGACCAGGGTGTTTAGAATCATTCTATGATGATTCAAGGATAACCGCAATATAACAAACATGCCAATCATATAACGGTAATGTAATGCATTCATAAAGCAACGAGTCATCACATAGTCAAAATGTCATATCACGGAGTATCCTAGAGCATTAAAACCAACAGGTCCCACTGGTCACATTGGTCCCACTGGTCATGTTGGTCACACTGGTCACACTGGTCACACTGGTCACGTTGGTCCCACTAGTCACGTTGGTCACATTGTTTATGTTTTATATGTGGTCACGTTGGTCACACTGGTCTCACTTGTCATATTGTATTCAACTGTTGTGATTTGTTTTCAGGGTATTCGAAGTATTCTTACAGTAGAAAGTGAGGAAGAGGAATCACTTCTTGCAAACGTCGATGAGGAGTCTATTACCAATCTGGATGTGCGCAGTTGGATGAATCAACTGAAGGTCGATCCAAAAAGCATTTGTTTTGAGCATATTCGTGCTCTTGATATCGATGCGAGGGGAGCTGCTTCCGATAAGAAGGCAGAAGAGAAGGAGAAGAAAAAGAATCGAGAAGAAAAAGAAGAAGAAGATGATGAAGAAGAAGTAGAAGAAGAAGAAGAAGAAGAAGAAGGAGAACAACATGGAAGAAAAAAACAAATAAAAAAGGGAAAAAAAGGTGAAGAAAAAGGTTATGAAAGGAGGTTGATGGAGGCGATTAAGGCCTCTGAATTGAGGATCATAGATTCTGTGAAGCAGATGATGAGGAAAGCAGGATTTCCGGTGGATGAAGAACCTTTTGTTTGTTTTGAGCATATTCGTGCTCTTGATATCGATGCGAGGGGAGCTGCTTCCGATAAGAAGGCAGAAGAGAAGGAGAAGAAAAAGAATCGAGAAGAAAAAGAAGAAGAAGATGATGAAGAAGAAGTAGTAGAAGAAGAAGAAGAAGAAGAAGAAGAAGAAGAAGAAGGAGAACAACATGGAAGAAAAAAACAAATAAAAAAAGGAAAAAATGTGAAGAAAAAGGTTCTGAAAGGAGGTTGATGGAGGCGATTAAGGCCTGTGAATTGAGGATCATAGATTCTGTGAAGCAGATGATGAGGAAAGCAGGATTTCCGGTGGATGAAGAACCTTTTGAGAATGTGTATTCTCCACATTCACAAATACATTCTTCAAAGGGTGGTGAGGATGTGCATACTCCCCGTTCACAGAGACAAGGAGAAGGGGATGAAGATGTGGGTAGTAGAAACTCATCAACGAGTGATTACTACGCCGGCAAGGATATGCCTTATCATTTTAAAGCTCGTGCTGAGGCTGTGCGTAGTGAAGAAAGTGATGACGAGGGCAATGCAGTGTCTAATACTCCTCCCAGAGCCCTAGAAGGGGGGGTTGCAAGTCCAAAGGTTCTTGAGGAAAATGTACAAGGAGAAAATGATGAAGGGATGGCTGGAAACCCTATGGAAGTGGACTTTGCTACCCAAGGCATCGAGTCAGCTGCTGCCCACGTCCCCGAGGACCCTAATGCCCAAACCACCGAGGACATTGCTGCCCACGTCTCCAAGGACCATACTGCCCACACCCCCGAGGACATTGTTGCCCACGTCTCCGAGGACCCTACTGCCCAAGCCACTGAGGATCCTGCTGCATTTGCCCCCAAGGAGCCCGAGGACCCTGATAACACTGTCCATGAGGACAAGGTACCCGAGAATCCTGATAACATTGTCCCTGAGGACAAGGTACCCGAGAATCCTGCTGCATTTACCCCCGAGGACCCTGCTAACATTGTCACTGAGGACCCTGCTGTAGTTTCCCCTGATGGCAAGGAAGCCCCTGACGCGGCCCCCCTGAGGCACCGAAACAGAAGATGTCGACCGATGAAGCTGTTCCTGTTTCCCAGCCTGCTCCTGCTCTTACTCCAGCGCCGACTGAAGTCGCTGGACCCCTGACACGTTCCAAAAGAACGTTGTTCCC